ATAATACTTTCTTGTAAAAAAGTAAAAAAGAAAAAAAAGGGTAAGTGTAGAGTGAAAAAGGGGTAAGTAAAAAAAAATAAATATACAAAGAAAATAACCAAATTATAAAGGAGTTAAAGACTATTTTAAATCTAAAAGAACTTGTCTACAGATATAAAAACCTGCTAACAAGGTAAAAAACTATCTACATAGTCATAGAAATCTATATATAGAGCTATTTGACAAAAGAAACTATAATACACTTTAGCTTGTACTAAAGACTAAAAATTATATACCTATGACTTTAAAATATTGCATATCGCATATTACTACTCTAGTTGTCAACTCTTATATTAAAACTAACTCAGATCCTAAAGTAACCAATCTTAAAACCTTGACATATGATTGTTGGTTTTAATTTCAGCATCAAAACTTTCTCCTCACACATGTTTGTTGTTTTCTTTATTCATCATATTGCAACTTGAAACTTTTTGAAAATAGAAGTGGTAAACAATGCTGATCTCTTGTTGATCTTTTGGAAAGGGTAGCCAAATTCCCTACTTTTTGTCAAAATTATGAAAAAAAAGAATAGCTCAAAGAAAAGTAGTTTTGCAAGGTTCCAAATTTAAAGAGTACCTTTTCAATCTGTTTGTTTCATCTTTTAGTCTTTTTTTCTTTCAAATATAAATTTTTGTGCTATAGTGTTCTCAAAATATCTTTGGTTTGGATATCAAATACATAAGGGGAGTCTATCAAGAAGAAAAGCTTGACCTCTTTGAAAACCAACATATAGTCACTTGTATTTTGATATATCATGTCTGCAGTCTTTATTAATAGAAGTTTACTAGAACTTTAGACTTCAACTCTTCGTCTTGCGTTTCAGTAAAAATTTGATTTAAGTGATCATCAGAGAGAATTGATTCAATATTTATTTAAAAATTAAAAATAGTTAACAATAAATATTTTTAAAATATTAAAAATAAAAAATTTGCCATCAAGATCATATGAAAAATAATCTATATATATTCTACTCTTAATATAGTTAAAGTTAAAAATAAGATAATTATATATAAGTGTCTCATATTAAAAAGGCCTATTTTGCAATTTTTTCAAAAAATAAGTTTTTATTAGATTTATATAAATTTTGATATGATAGATATTTTTCAATTATGAATAAAGATCGATTTGTATAATAAAAAATAAAGATAATATAAAAAAAATTACACAATGCTGCCTAAGGCCAAGCACATTACAAGATTATCTGATAATCATCTGCTACCTTTAACTAATCAAAATCATGAAATTTGCTTAATCCTGAATCAGTTCAAAAATTAAAACAAATGTTTAAACTCAATTATCTCAAAATAAATTATATGTCAAAATGGGCCTTTTTAATACAAGACACTCTATATTATTTTATTTTTTTTTTGTTTCAGTAATCCTTTTTTTATTATTTAAATCAGCATAGAATTACACAAGATCTAGATGTGATCTGTCTAAGTAGCTCATATTTACTTTATCTAGAATTCTTAACTTACTAAAAATTTATACTCTAAGAGTCTATAGTAGGTGTTTACTAATCTTGTCAAAATCACTACTCTATATAAGATATCACTAATTTGAAGAAAAATTCTCTAACAAAAAATTCCAAAGAGCAAATAGATAAGAGGAATTACAAAAAAGGTAATATTTTAAAATAAAACAAATAAAAAAATGACTAAACTGATAAAGAAATATAAAGTACTAATTATAAAACTAAAGAACCTATCTAACAAATTGGTATCTGCTAATCAGAATACTTGTCTATATAATTATAGTAATTATATAGAACTCAATTAATATATATAAAAAAACTAAACTAAATATATTTTGATCTATACAAAGACTTAAAAATTATATGTATATAACTTTGGCATATTTTAAATTCTTTTTATTGTTCTAACTTTAAATTTATATTTTATTTTAAAGTATAACAAATATATCAATTCTATATGTTTTCCTAGTTTTATTTTATCTAATTAGTATATAAGTCTTTAAAAATTTTTCAAGAAATGTTCTATAGTATAGATGGGCAATATAAAAAATAAACTTTATTAATGATTAGTAATCTTTAATTTTTAATATTAAAATTGCTAAGTTTGCAGAGTTTGCTTATCTATTTTATAAAACATCTCTTTTGAGTCCTTAATGTATTAGAACTATATTTCTAAATAAGAAATAAATTATTTTCTATATAGCTATGTGTTGTTGTGTTTATATTACAGAATTGCTGAATATAAAAGTAGTAAACAATGCTAATCTTTTGACAGAAGGTAGCCAAATCTTTTACTTTTTGTTAAAAATAGGTTTTGGGAGCATTAAAGTAGCAAGAAAGATTGTAGTTTTGCAAGTTTTCAACTAAAGAGAGTTTTTTTAAGAGTTTGTCATATTCTTCTGTCTCTAACCTTTTTAAGTTTTTTTTACTTGCTGTTTTCAAAACTTCTCCAGTTTGGATGCCAAATACAAAAAAGAGTTTATACTAAGAAAATAGAAACAAGGCTTTACTCTTTTGCAAACTATCCAAAATATCTGCTTCTTAGTATATTACGTTTAAAGATTTTGTTGATAACAGTTCATATTGAAAAAACTTTAAATTGTTGTTAACTTCTAGAGTCTTCAACTTGCTTTCAGTACTAGTTGATTCAAGTGATTATCAAGAAAAGTTGTGTGTCTATTATATATTATTTTACTAAAAAATCAGTTAAATTATTAAAAATATTATTTGTATAAGTCTAACTTTATAAAAAAAATTATATTGATTTGATAAAACTTGATAATATTAAGAAGTGTATACTATAATAATCATGTATTAAATTTAAAGAATCTATTTAGATTAAATAAAAAATATAAGTTTTTGGTATTTGAAGATAATAAACTAGAAGTTTATATAAATATTAATTGTTAAATTATGTAAAGCTATAAAAATAATAGATATAATTGTAATAAGCTCTGCTTTATATGAGATTAGCCAAAGTTTGATTTGTGTGTTAAATTAAAAAAGATCTAGTTGTTGCTATTAACTTAAACCTAACTTATATCTATTATACAATAATCAGTTCAATATTAATAATAGATCTATTAGTATATAAATTTAATAGTTTATAGTTTAAGTTGCTAATTAATATTTCTTCAAGTTTGATTATTAGTTTACCAGGTAGAAAAATAGAAGTTACAATTAAATCTACTATAAGAATAGTGAATAGTATAGATAGAATAAAATTTAAAATTAAATATTTAATTACTATAGAGAATATAAAATCTATATAGTTAATATTGCATATTTCTTTTCAAAAATTATATAGAGATAATATTTGACCAAATCAAATTAAATTAAATCAAATTGCAGAACTCTACTAACTATTTGTATTATAATACTCTTATCCTTTCTTTTACTAGTTTTCACTATAATGAATTATATAATTTATTTTACTTTAGCTAAACTCAAACTGTTGATTTTCTTTAGAGTTTGAAAGTTTAACTACTAAGCTATAAGACTCAAACCTATTATATAATTTGAAATTATACTATATAATTAATAAAGACTTATAGCAAAAAATGCTACTCTAAAAAAATAAAAAACCTGCTATAACTTATAAAATTTATTATATTATAATTATATTAAATATATAAAGTTAAATATAATTTAAAATAACCAATAATATTCTTAATAGAGTTCTAAAAAACAACTTTAAAATACTATATTACTATAGCAAATTTATAAAATTAAAATAATTTGGTTTTAAAACCTATTAAAAAAAATATACAAATTTTTTTAATCTTATCAAAACCAATACTGCAAATTTATCAAAAATAATATTTTTGTATACTTGATAAATTAATAAAAAAATTTTGCAAAATTTTATATATAATATTTCTAACGTTAATGAAATTTTAAAAATAATAAAATTGCTAGTAATAAACAATATATATATTGTTTAACCAATCTTTTTTTAAAAAAAAATTTTTATTATATAAAAAATAAATTTTACCTAATAATAAAAAATTTATCTAAATTTATATAAAATATAAATGATTTAAAAATTATAATTCAAGATTTAAAACAAGTACTTACACATTTATATATTTATATCTAAATCTAATAACATAATTATTTATAAATAAAAATATTAAACCATTTACTAGTTTGAAAATCAAATAAAATTTAATATATTAAACTACCAGAACTATCTCGGTTTATATAGTAAAATGTAAACGGTTTAACATCTATATACAAGTCTTATTTATTTTTTAACTTTATTTTTTTACAAACCCTATAAAAACAATTATATAACAATTATTATTTTGACACGGCCAATATTATAATTATACCACATGTATTTTATACCAGTAATTATCACTTGCCTGATGTTTTTATTTAGTACGAAATGTCATTAACCAACAATCCTAGTACTTGCTCATAAATAACAAACATTATCCCACTTTGCATTGCAGTCCAGGCAACTCTTGGACCAATTCCACTAAATAGTCCTTTAAGTCCATAATTTTTATAATTCCATATCATTCCTTCCCATATACCAGTATAATAATGAGTATATTTTGTCACATTTTGAGGAGGAACAGTGGCTGTTTGCTTAGAAGAAATTGATTGTTTTGCTTTAACGTGTTTTTGTACTTGAGTTTGTAGTAGCGTTTTCATAACATCTAACGGTGTTGTTAAAGCGCCTGCTAAACCACCCGCAAATGCGCCAGTTGCAATTTCCCATTTAAGATTTAATTGATTTTCTTGATTAATAGTATTTGTATATAATGTTGCCCATAATTTAAATTTTTCTATATATTGAATTATTATTTAATTAAACAAGTTTTTTTTTGATTTAATTCTAACCAATTTAAAAGATTATTAAAATACCATAAAAAGCAAATTGTAATGCCGAAAAAGGCACATCACGTAATAAAGTTGCTTTATATCCATGATAAAATGCACCGGGGCCTTCATATTTATATAACTAGAAGAAAAAAAGAAATTAAAATTGTAGCTTTTCGAGAAATGTAAAAATATTGATATGTAAAAGTTAACAACAAACCGTTTGTGCAGCATGCCAAGTATTTTTATAATTGTATCCACTAAAAAAGTGTGGATTATTGTATCGGCCTTGCAGCTGCAGACGAGTCTTCAAAACCTAAATTTAGTCAAATAATGTTAATCAAGTTTGGTCGCACTTGTGTGAAAAGTATACGTATTTCCTACCTCTGAAGGAACGTATACAGAAGATGCCATTACATCTCCCACAGAACCTAATTAAATAGTATATAAATTGATTAGATATTTAACAAATAATCATAGTAGATAAGAAATAAATAAGTAACAATTGATTTACCTTGTTTGGGAGGAAAGTTTAATGCGCATAAGAACAAATTATTTGCTGTGCATAAAGAAATATGTACTTTTTTCCATATTCCTTACCAGCCGTCAAATGCGCAACAGTGTCTGGTATTCCTATTGCAGTTAATTTACGCTTTGTAAGCTCATATGTTCCAAAATAAATTGTTGTTGCCGGCACTAATTTCATAATAAACATCACGATATTAATTATAATAAAGTCTTTCACCTTTTATGATTAGCTTACTAGTACGTGCATATAGACAGTTACATTACCGGAACCCAAAATGGCAGGGGTCACTCCACTATACAATCCACGTGTAATTCCTTCTTGTTTGAATATTGTAATGTAAGCATGCAACATATTTTGATATTTTAAAGGTTTTGCCGGTCTTTGACCTTGTAATCTAGTTTTTACAGTATCTATACTATAAATAAAAGTTATGATCACTAAATCAACTGAATGCATGCGTAAAAATCTCACTAATGGTATTAGAAATTAAATTACCTGTGCATTAAAAAATCAGCTGTAGAACCACCAATACCACCAGCAAACATTACCTAAAAACAAATAAACGCGTATATGAAAAAAAAAGAATGCATGCAATATTTAAATATAAAAATTTATGTTGAGAGCAAGACTTACGTGAACAAGAGGAGCTGTATAATCAGCATAGCAAACAGGTGCAGGTGATTCGATCGTTGACGGAACTCTATTATGTGGTAAGCCTTGCGATTTCTTCGGTTTACGACTTGCGAGATTTCGTCTTGAAGTATCATGTTTTGAATTTTCTAACATGATATTTGTCCAAAGACACACCTCTATTCTTACGGAGAAAGATGTGAATATTCGGTTACATGCCATATATATATACACACATACATATACATACATGTATGTTGTTTGATTGGTTCTTGATAATCTTCATCTACATGATCATTCGCTCACGTGAATTCTGTCTGCACCTTCCACGCGTGGTCTTTTGACTGAATTTTGATGGTAGAAGTTAGAGGCATTGGCAATGTGAGCTTTCAAAGAACGGCATTTTTGAATCTATAATTAAATACATCGAAAATCATGTTTATTACAGTACATTTATTTTGGGTTAAAAATAAAGATACTGGTGAAATTAAACAATTTCACCAGGTGAAATGGTGAGATAATTTCACCGGAATTATACCAGAGTAAAAATTGAGATTGGTGAGATTGGTGATATTGGTGAAATGGTAGAATTGGTGGATCGGTGGAATTGTTGAATTGTTGAATTGGTGAAATTGGTGAATTGGTGAGTTTGGTGAATTGGTAAAATTGATGAAATTGGTGAATTGGTGAAACTGTGAATTGGTGAAATTGGTAAATTGTTGAAATTGTTTAATTGAGAAATTGGTGAATTGGCGAAACGGTGAATTGGTGAAACAGTGAATTGTTGGAATTGGTGAATTGTTGAAATTGGAATTGTTGAAATTGGTGAAACGAAATTGGTAAAACTGAAATTGGTGGAGTGGTAAAATTAATTCATCTTATTAATTGTTAATATGTGAGTAACGCCAAGGGTGTACGATATACTACGTGTGCAAATTAAAACTTTATGTGGACATATAATAAAATTTACTAAATGCACAGCCTAACGGTTGAATAATTTCGTAGAGACGAATATTATGTTTCTACAAGTAGAGTTATGGAGCCGTTCCTTTTAAGCACGAAAATTTTTTTTTTCTTATAAAAAAAGAATCAAGGTTTTAATTTAAAGGAATGGCATTATATCTTAATACTTTTATCAAATTCTATTTTCTGTATTATAAATATTTATTGTGACATAATACATGATCCTTACAAAATTTCATCCGAAACTATCGAACTGTTAGGGTCGTGTATCTGTTTTATTTTACTATATGACCACATATCGACATAGATTTTGATTTACATAGTATATCATACACCCCATTGATATTACACACGCCGACATAATAATGAAAGAAATTGATGAACCCATTCAAAGGAGTTTCTACGTATAGCGATAAATAGTGCCTGATTTAATGTTGCATGAATACGTTTGTAAATCATGAGATTCGTAACACGTAGGGTTGTTAAAAAGCTTGTCGGACCCGGTCCTTGAGTCGACTTCACACAGACTTTTTAGGATCGACTCAAGCCTGTCCTAGACAAAGCTCCATATGCATGTCTTTGTTCTAGAAGGGCATGCATGTGATTGGTTAATTTGCATCGAGATCGATTTGACCAAAATACAATACTGATTATTATTATTATATGCACGGACTCGACTCAAGGACCGAGTCCTAATTGAAGTCCCTATTTACGGAGTCAGGACCGAAAGGATTGGACTTTTAACAGCCCTAGTAACACGGTTCATTCATATATCGGTAAATCTGCGGTACATATCAAATTATCTTTTTTTTTTGTATAATGACCAAATCAGAAACATCAACAGGAAAACCACCGCTTCGTGCTCAACGGGAAACATGTTGGAAATTACGAGATGAATATTTTTCATGTCTCGAAGCAGTATCGATATTTGACCCTACAAAGGTAGATACCGATGAATCAATACGAAAATTAGTAAAGAAAAGTGATTGTTGGAAAAAAAAGAGTTCTTATGAAGATGCTTGTATGACAAGTTGGGTAAGTTGTTTGTTTATCAAAGAAATTTATGGGTTAAATTATTATTTTTTTTTATATTGAATACTGATTTTCCAATTAAAATTTAAAGGTGGATTATTTTAATAAACGACGTGCATTGGAGATTAGACAACGTCAAATTTCAGCAGAAACAAAAAAACAATCAAATGGTGAATCAGAAAGCAAATAAATATCTCAATTCATTTATTAAAGAATATCATTTCTTTTATATATGGAATGAATACGCTTGAAAAGTGACAAAGTTAAGAACGTATTTTAAATAAATGTTTTATTGGTTATCATATATCAGTCTGTATGAAACTGTACAGTAATAGAACCAACATGAGCAAATATCCATTCAAGAAAATATAGTTAATTAATCGTTAAAATCTTCAAATAAACGAAGATATTATTATTTTAAATATTGTGAAATGCCCCCAAAGCGAAATAACAGAAAGCGATTATGCACTACATAACGCGCGTCGCAAGCTCGTTTCATTATTTATAGTGTGAAGACAAAGCTAGTTCAGCAACGTGACACAAACTGTTCAACCTGACTTGAAAAAGCCGATTCAATCCCCACACATCGCATAAATCCTTCAATCTTAGAGAATTCGAGCCTCTATTATTTAAATTAAAACGTAATGCGTTAATAATTGTAATCATTTAAATTGGGTTCTACTGGATAATGGGATACTTTTACAAATAATTTTCCACAAAAGATGATTTTAACTAAATAAAGACCGGTGTTTTTTAAATATGTCTAATTAGCTTGAGTCATTGTGCCTGTTGGGGATGTATACCTCATCAAACTTTTAAGAACCTCTGTCATATCCTTTGATTTAATTTCATCAATAGAGCGATTAAATTCTTCAACCTCTGCTTTTCTTTCTCGACCCATTTTTCTCTCTCATTGGCATTCAATGCATGATATTCACGATAAGCTTTATAAACATCAGTCGTCCAATAATATGGATTTTGGTACCGAATGCCAGGTAAAGTAACAAGACAACTATCAAAAAAGTTTGAAGGCTTTATATCATTAATATTAGGAAGGCAAGAAAGTACTTCTTCGGGAATATTATTTCGTAAGTCTTCAAAGCTTGTGGGATAATAATATGTTAGAAAAATACAATTTCGCAAAAACATATATAAGATATAATAAGGTTTAATAATATTATTCTTACCTTGCGGTTTTTATAGACAAGCAGGGTCTACAACATAATCTTTTGAACTCCCAAATCAAATATTGATATCGATCAGAATCATTGACTTGGGCTCCACATAACTGGCATGAACTACCCAACTCTCTCAACCAAATATATTGTTGTTCACACATGCCTTTGGGTGGTGATAACGAATATGAAAATTTTGATACCGGTAATGATAATCTAAACTTACGCCAGATTTGTTGAGTACAACCAGAAGTGGCCCATAAAAAATTACGAAGCTTTTTA